TTCCCAAAGACACAGAACCCACTTGGGTTCTGGAATACAGTGTCTTCTCTCACTTCTTGGTCTCCTCTTCCAAGAAAGAGGTGCCTGGGGCATACAGATGATGTCTGGCCCTGCTTATGCCCATTAGTCATGGCAGCAGTTGTCACACCTTGTAGGACCACATACATAAACTGCTGGCAGTTAGTTTCTGTCTTCTTCTTCACTGCTTGAAGTGATGTATTGAGTAGTTTGGTGGGATACTCAGCTATACGAAGATTTTCTGAGAAAATTGTATTACATAACATCTAGGACAAAATGTAAGTTTTACAGCAACACTTGCTCTCTTTGTGTGGTTTGCAGGATCACTGCATGGGTATTACTCATCTCCCACCCCCTGTTCAGGTCCAGCGCTCTCCTTTTGCTGGGTAAATGCACAGAACACACAGCACAGGAGCTGTTGATGGCACCATCTGCAAAAGCCTAATGGCTCATTCATTAAGCAGTGGGAACCGGCACCACCACAGTGCAATCAGATACTGTATGATGAATAATTCAGAAATAATCCTTGTATACTTGAATAAATATCAGGAGGAGGAAGGAAAAAGCCCCATACATATGGCATGTTAGGGGAACAAAACAGGCATTCTTCAATGTGCCAGGCTGCTGAGCTCTGTGGTACTGATGTTAATCACGCAGGTGGCTAATTCCTGATGAGGAACTGACTGAGGGGTTCTGGCCCAGCACTCGGAACGTGTTCGTAAGTGGAAAAGAGAACAGTGTCACGGAAAATCCAAAAATCCATCAGCCTCGCATTCTGCAATATGCCTGTGCTTGTGTTGTGTAAGCAGCTGGGGGGCTGAGTTTGGGAGGCCTGCACATCCTGAGCTGCTGCTCTGGCTAAAGTACTGGTGTGGTGCACTCAGCATTGAGTGCCCAGTGCTCAGGGAGCCTCAGGGTGGTAGATGCTGTCTAAATGGAGTATACAAACATAAACTATTTGGTTGCATATTTTTTCACCAGAGCCTGTAGTGACAGGGCAAGGGATGGCAGCTTTAAATTGACAGACGGCAGGATTAGATTGGAAATAAGGAAGATTTCTTCCCTGTCAGGGGAGTGATGCACTGGCAGATTGCCCAGAGGAGCTGTGGCTGCCCTGCCTCTGGGGAGGAGACAATTTTCTGCTGCTGCTCCTCTGGATGTAGTCAATTTCTCCAAAAACAGTACTCCTATGCAGAAGAAATGCCTTCTCAGCTTTTGACAATCATCAAATCATACGAGTTTTTCTATTTCATTTTTCCTAATTCACATCTAGAAATGCTTGGGCTTGAAGGCATGCTTTTGCCAACATATGTAATCCTGTGACAGTGCCTTCAGGTGTCTACCTTGAACACCAGTGGCACTGCTTGGCAGCTTGAGGATGAGCCAGCAAGTGCTGCAGGCATATGGCCTGTGTACCAGGCCTACTGCATGTGCAAGACTGAGTCTCATATATGTGCAGATTTTGAGCAGAGCCCTTTTTCTCCCACTGGGAATACACTTCATACTATAGTTCATATGTAGGTGAAATCCTGAGGTGTGTGTGTTCTGCTTTGCCTGTTCAGAGGAGCTGGGACCTCAGCATGGCACAGCACGGTGTTACCTCATACCTCATACATGTGGAAAAACTGAGGTATTTGACTGCAACTCCTCACAAACAGAACTGTTTTAAGCCCACAATCTTCACTAACCAACTCTGATTTCTTTGGATAATGCTCTGGTTTGTTAACAGCCAGAAAAAAAGGTATAATTAAGCCCTGACTAGGCCACCTGGCTTTGTATTATATCTAAATCAGCATCTCTTTTACAGATAATTAAAAATGGGAGTCTCTTGTTGTTCAAGACATTGCAGTATTTGGGCCTTTACAGTATTTAACATCTTGAGAGTCATTAGGGTTTCTCACTCTTCATGCTACTTGGGCATTGCAAATGTTCAGTCTGGAGTTAAAGATTCTCTCCTTGCAGATGGATAGCATGAGTTGCCATCTTCCATGAACACATCCGTTAAATTGGGGGGAAACTGCCTGTTGTGGAGATGTTCCTCAGCTCTGGGCAGTGTTCGTAGATGAAGGACCAAAGTCCTTCATCTGATCTCCTATGAGATCACCTTCTTTTAATAAAACTTGTAATTTTAAAAAGCAATCCTGGGGGTTTTAGTCCAAAATTTAATAGAAGATATATTTTAATAACCAGGAAAGGAAAATTATTTTTTTCCCCAAGAAAATACCTGGAGAATAGTGATAGGAGCATCTGAAAAGGGGAAGTTTAATTGTAAGCTGGTTTTTAAATATTGAATGTTTAAATATACGTGGCTAAAGGAAAGTACCACTGCATTCTAAACAGTGATAAAAAGAAAAATATAAGTATTCTAAAACAAGAAATAAAGCTTCTGCTCTGCTCTTGTTGATCACATGTTAAAAGATATTTTATGGTGAAAAAAGCAATGGAATTAACAAACACTATTAAGCATTTGCCAGAAGTTGTAAAGCTATTACTCTGAAAATAAATTTAGGATTGGAAATATTACATCTGTATTTTACCCTTCTTGCTTTACGTTAAGCATGTTTTGCTAGCTAGAAGGGAAATGGTCTCTTATGTCCTCCCCAAAAGTAGGAAGGACAAAACATCCTGTATTTATCCTGACATTTAAAAAAATCAAATGTAAATTGACTTCAGTTTTTATTGTGTCAATCCACCTGCAAAATCCTCTTTGGTCCCAGCACATCTTTAAAGTGCAGAAGCTCTGTTCGATCCCTGTACAGAAGGCATGAAATGAATACACCATTGTTCAGAGTTCTGAATTTCAAGAGCCTTAAAATCCTAAGAAGTTAAATAATCAAGAAGTTATTGCACTCAAGTTCAGCATTCACTGTAGCATCAAAGTGTTCTGAGTTGGCAGCACTCCTTGCTGACTGCTTGGAAGGCCGCACTGGAGGCATTTCTTCAGGAAAAGAAAAGGAGGGGCTCAAGGTTCCCAGAGAAAGAAGTACGCATTATAGGACTCTGCAGGTGTCAGCACAGGGGACCAGGAGATCCCATCTCAGAGCTGGAGTCCAGCTGGAAGGATCCCCTGGTGATGTGTTTGTTGGTTGGGATGGAGATTGTCCATGTGAGGACAGCAGGACTGGGGACTTTGAACCTGGCTCCTGCAAAGCCAAGGGATAAAACAGGATCACTTAAACAATGAGAATTTCTTCCACCACAGGTCCTAAGGATTATGTGGCAGAGAGTCTGAGAGAGTGAACAGGACCTCTGGTCTAAGACTTCAGAGCCAAGACATAAGGTCAACATGCCAAAAACTCCCAATGCAGAAGTGACTGCAGGGACACCCATGGTGCTGAACCTCTTTTTTTGTGTGCTTGAACTAAAAAAACACTGGACAAGTGCTATCAGCCTGGCATGACTTGTAAAATATACTTTAAATTATCTTCATTTTATGTGTTTTAAGTAAAATACTTAGGGTGGCAGATTTATCTCCTATGGAGTTGTCAAGGACACCTGGCTGGAAGGAAAACAAGTAGATCTGTGTGAAAGGCAGCACACTCAAGGACCTTTGTGCCATGTACAAACTGTAAAATCGATTAACATTTCAGGTATTAATACCAGAGTAGGAGCTGCCATCTTCTTTATGCTATTATGCAAGCCAACCACAGGAATTCAATGTAAGTAAAGAGAGAGTAGTTTTCACTTCTTTAATCAAATCAGTTTACTAGTGAATTGGGAAGAAATAGGGTGTTTTAATTATCATGGCCTAATTTCACAAGGCACTTGCAGGATGAGCCCTTCTTGAACATTAAAACTAGTGCACAAATCCACTTTTATATAATCCTAAAATCGATTTATTATATTCAAATTCAGTAGAACCTACGTTCTGCTACAATTTTGGTTAATTGGAATAAGTCAGAATTTTTATGTGCAGGCGGGATTGGAGCGACCAAGGTATGGCTCGATGGGTAATTTCCTGCCCTACCGATAGCTGCGGGCACAGCTTCTGGGGCAGCTTCCCAGAAGGAGCTGTGCTTTGCAGAACGCCTTTGGGACTCTACTGCCTTCCTAACAGGCTCGTAAGAGACATTTATACACCAGCAGTATTTTATCTAGAATATTTAGTATATTGTATGTCCATAGTGTAAATTTGAGACGGGTGTTATGTATTTAAAGCCATTAGTGTGCTTCAATAAAACGATTCGCGTGCGAAACTTTACATTCTGAAAATGGTGCTGCACGGTGGTAACAGAGAGAGGGCGGGATCTCGTCCTGCCGTTCCTAGCAATGGCGATGCCGCCAGGATGGCTGCGCAGCCAACAAAGGCGGCCGGTCAGAGGCAGCGCACGGGCCGCGGGCGCTGTGCAGGGGGGCCCGAGAGTGCCCGGGTAACGGGGTGTGGAAGGAAAGGCAGCATCGCCCCGCGACACGGTTCCCAGCCGCGACCCGGGACCTGGGGGGTGACCCTGGCCGGGCCCGGGCACAGCCGCCGCAGCGCCAGCGGAGGGGCTGAACCGCCAGAGCTGGCAGCGTGTGGCTCCTCCCGTCCTTTGTTGGCCTGCAACCGGAGCAGCGGCCGCGGACTCGTCTCCCGGCTGCCCTTCGAGGCCTGAGGTGCTCGGGCACGGGGAGAGCCCGGCGGGACCCGGGCAGCGTCTCCCACGCGGCTTCGGCGCAGGGGAGATCGGCCCCGGCGGCCGGCGCGGTGCTGCCCGCCGGCACCGCTCGGAAACCCTCCCGAGCTGTCCGGGCTGCGGGAGGCCGCGACCCGGCCCCGGCCCCGCGGCGCTCGGCGGCCCCGCAGCCTCCCCGCCCCCGGCACTCTCCAGGGAGCCGTTCCACACGGAATCACACGGGAGCGTCTCCCCATCTGTGCCGCCGAGCACCCCCACCCCCACCGCCCAGCCCCGCAGCCTCCTGCCATTATGTTCCTCCGACGCGGGGCCGGGCCGCGCCGCGGGCCGTAGCCCTGCCCGAGCCCGCCGGCTCCGGCCGCAGCAGGTGTGTCGCATGGGGACCGGAGGTTGCATGCTATGGGGTCGCTTCCTCCCGGCCCGGCGGCGGCCGGAGCCCCGGGGGTACCCGTGCAGGGACTGCCCAGGCTGGCGGCTCCGAGCCGGCTGGGCGGGGGCGGATCGTTCTCCCCGCCGCCGAAGGGGCCACGGCCTCTCCTCCCCGGCCGTCCCCAGGGTTCGCAAGGCCCGCTCGGACAGAGCCAATTCGGGCCCGGAGCGCGCAGACCCGCGAGGAGGTGCCCGGGGCCGCGGCAGCCCGGAGGAGGGAGCGGCCCCCCGGACCGAGGGGCCGAGGGAGGGCCGGCCGCGGTTGCGGCCGCAACAGCCTGTATCGGGAAGACGGGCCGAGGCAGCGGAAGAACATGGTGGTTCTCCCCAGAACGGGGTGGGGATGAGGGATGCGAAGAAGGTGTCTCTGCAGGGAGGGGTGCAGGGTTGTGCCCGAGACCTCTGTTCAGTTGCAGGTGCAGCCAGGGGCAGAGGGGCTTTGCCGGGGTCGCCCACCCACCCGGAGGGAGCCCTGCAGAGCAGCATCTCCCGCAGCCTCCGAGAGGAGGGGGTTTCAGCGCGTAGGCGGAGGTGGTTACTGGTGTTCCCAGAGCAAGGGTGAGTAGCCAAGAGGAGCGGGGTGGCTGCTGTCTCGGTCTGGGTGCCTGTCAGCCATGCAGGAGGAAGGCCCTTGCGTGGCCGAGGTGAAGGTGAGCGGGCAGGAGCAGAGCGGCCACGGGCACAGGTGGGTGCAGACCCCCGGAGCGGCGTGGGCACCGCAAGGGACTGAGACCCTGGGTAGGCATCGCCTGAGAGGCGCAGGGCCAGACAGGCGGTCGGTCCGCACAATCTCTGCGGGGTGGGAGCTGCGCAGAGCTTGACCGGGCCTCCCCAGCCGGCGGGTGCAAGCCGGGGGGGGCTGCCCAGCCGTGGGGCTGCCCAGCCGTGGGGCTGCAGCTCGCTGCTTCTCAAGGCCTCCAGCATAGTCGAACAGCAAAAGAAAAAAAAAGAAAAATCAGTGTAGCAGCCAAGTCGGTGCTGCGAGGAGGGGGCAAAGGAACTATTTTGTAGGCATCTTGCTGCTGCAGAAATGGATTTATTGAGGGGAGGGAGGTGCATTTGTGGGTACACTATAGTAATGCTGCTCAGAGCACAGGAGATGCCACTCGGGTGGCCCCAGATGGAACGAAGAGTGGGGAGGGCAGATGGGAGCCCTTGATCGGGCACCCCATGGCTGTGGGCATGAGGGGGCATATTTGACGTGTGTGAGTAGCCACCCCTCATCTGGGGGAGCAGAGGGGCAGCTGCCTGGGTTAGCAGCCTGTCTCCCAGGGCTGTGGCCGAGCCTGCCTGGTGCTGCAAGAGAGATCCTATGAGGATTTTTATTGCGGTCTCTTTGTTAGCTACAGACAGGCACGCACACACTGCTCTCAGCCAGGTTGTGGGAGGTAAGTGGGGGAGGCGAGCAAGGGAGCGTGTGGGGGGCTCTGGGGAGCAGGGGCCATGTGGGCCGGGCAAGAGGGGAGCCGGGGCACAGGGCTGTGCCGGCCCCACGCCACACAAAAACCAGCCCCTGCGATTTTCAGGGTCTTGTTGGCAACTCAGCGAGGGTTGCCATAGCTTTTTATGTAGGGTGACCAGAACCGGCTGGAACTGGTTTGAGGCAGATCAGCTCCTGAACACAATGCAGTCACTGAGCTACTACACTGGGATAGCTTCCTCCCTTCATGGCAGCCAAAAGCAGAGGAGCTTGCAGAAAGATACCATCCCAAAACAGTATGTGAATGCACACTTTAGACACACAGCACTGGTATGTGGCTAATGTAGTCATAAAGGGTTCTGTATGTAAATGTACATATTTGCAGTAACAGATTACTTTGGCTTTTCGTGCCTTTTTATGCTTAAGGAATGGGCAAGAGCTGAGATTTATGACCCTTACTAAAATATTTTTGCTTTGCAAGGGTGGGACACTGGTTATGCAGTCTGTTTTAAAATTAAACTAAATAAAATGGATTGAATTATTTGTAATTGTAGATATGCTTGTGACTGAGGATGCTTTGCATGCTGTTTTATTTACAGGGTGCTGTCTTGTGGTTTGCTTCCTTAGGAAACATTAATTGGGGGGGGGGGGAGTTACTGTGCCTTTTTCTAAGGCCAGAAGGAAACAATATTGTTGTAGAATTGTGCATAAAAGCATTGAAAAGATGCTGTAAGGCATACTCGTTTTCCCTTTTTTTTTCCTTGTAGGCCTATTGATTGAGGCTGCCTTTAACCCTTTGGTGTTTGCAGAGGTAATGCGGCTGTGGCAGTAACTGAGCACTGGCTAAAAAGATCCCTCAAAGGTCAAGGTTCACAAGGTGAGACGTGGTGGTTTGGGCTGAATAGAACAATAGCGTGGAGTTGCATCCTGATTGCACACTTGGCACATTAGGAAGGAGACAAATGTTTAAGTGTTAATGAAGAAATGCTATTAAGGTCCTCTAGTTTTAAAAGGATTAAAGCTATTATTTGAAAAGACTTACTGATATCTTGGCTAAATACAGTATTTTCATTGAAATACATCCCGATGAACATTTTTTTCACCATGTAGTGAATATGGAATAGGCCTCTGAATGACAATCATGAATCCCCGACCAGTTGTGGCAGGGAGCTGTTCTGTGCTGTATTAAGAGACTCACACATGCAGAATTTGCTGTCTGGGTATTTATACATTGTTGTTTGACCACATCTCAGTGGCCCAATACTTGGTTTTTTATTAAGGTCTTCAGTGTTAAACATTACTTAATATCGCCTACAGAGGAAAAAACTGTGCAAAAGAAATAGTATGGATGGCTTTTCTTAAACTTTTGTAACCTGGGGAGGATTTTGCAGTGGCCAAGCGGAAAGATGTATTCTGGGGAGCTCAATGGAGCTCCAGTGGTATGAATTATTATATTGTGCATAGGAAGCTGGATGGCCAGTGCAGCAACTGCAGAGGGGTGACTGCTTTTAACTCAAAGCAACGGATAATGGATAGAATTTTTAGTTTTTCTTTCTCAACTAGAAAATACAAAATGTGTACTTAGATTTGAGGTGACATTTTTATCTTATAGTGAAATCTGAAGGATTCAGAGAGAGGGACAGAGAGAAGGAAGCAGGAATGAATCCAGCAAAGGGAAGAACAAAGGCTGTTAGAGCTTGCACAGTGGATCACTAAACATTTTGCCTGGGGGATTCTTTTGCTAGAACTGTTACTTCCTCTAACAGGAAATCAGCAACTCTAGAATTCTAACCAGTGTGATTTTTAAAAAATCTTCCCAGTCCTGGGTGTGTTAGCTGGTTTGGTAAACTACAATCAAGATAATATGGAGGCAGAACGTTGGAAATACTCTGTTGTGGTGTGAAATGTGGGTCCTTTCCTCTGTGCTCAGCAGAATAGACAGTCCTAAAAGCCTTGAGAGGTTGTGGATACTGGGCAAGTTGTGTGCTGGTTGCTGAGGCAGGGTGACAATACAAGGGAACCTTTTTATTTCTGACTGCAGTAGATTACGTAAGGCACCGAGCTAATAATTGTAGAAAAGTGAAAATAATATGCTAAAATTTGGCCTGAAATTCTGGGTTTGTGAGCTTTACTGCAGCCGTGATGTGTTGTTTTTCAGGTTTGAGAGAGCAGTGACTAGCTTGTGGCAGAGCAAAATGCCTGACAGATCACTGTGCTGATTTCTGCTCCTGTTCTTCAGCATCGGGATGCAGAGGGTCTATATTTGACTATAGACGTCTGTAGCAGAATGATGCTTGCAAACAGGAATTCTTGTTGCATGATCCTCTTCCTGATAAGGATTCATGTTCTTTTCCGAGTGTCAGCTAAAATTCATATATTACACAACAGCATCTTTTGGGATTTTTCTTCCTTCTGCCAGAATAGGAGGCAGATTTAAAATTTTAAGTTCTTGGATTGTGACAAAATTCCTTGAATCTGTTTTGTTTGGGTTTTTGAATGCTATCTGCATTATGAATTTTTCTTTTTAGCAAAGGAGATGTTGAATTTGCAGGGTTTTTTGGTGGCTGTAAGATGAGAAAACTGAATAGATGGAGTCTGCAGTATTCTCTGTGAGTTATCTTTTTTCAGTCTAGTAATATCAGTAAACGCTCTTCATCAGGAGATTTGGATTGTGCATGCAGGCCAGCTTTCCAGCAGCAAATGTTAATGCTGGAGGGCTGGTCTTCATATCAGCACCCAGGATCTCATTTTGCATTGGCCTCAGCTATTTGGTCTTCAGAATGAGGGTAAGGATTTATCACATTCCAAGTCCCTTTGGAATGAATTGACTGTTGTTTTCCTAGCCATATGCCTATGTGTTAACATACAAATCTGTAGCAGGAATATATGTTCAGAAAAACCCAAACTTGACCCTAATGTTCTCGGGCCTGCTTGTTGCCCTGATGGGCCCTGTCTGGGAGAGCTCCCTGGGAGGCTACAACTGCTCATGCTGTGCTTGGACCACAGTTGTCATCCACTTCAAAAAAAGTACCTTAAAGGAAAGACATGGGAAGCTTGTGCCATTTAGAATGTAATTCCAGTCTGCATTAGTTTGGGAATCTCAACATTCTCTTCATTGTTGATGTGCATCTGAATTATTCACATGGTACTGCCCCAGCCTATTTGCATATAGAAGTACAAAATTAAGCCATGATTGTAATTAATTTCAAAGCATACTGGAAAAATAATGGTATGTAGATTTCCCTGCTTTTCAGGAATTCATCTTTGTTTTAGGAGGGATTTGGGAAGTAGGTGGACCCTGGCCTGTATCTCTTGATAAGTACAGGTGGTTTTCATGTGGCCAGCTATAGCTGGGGATGGCCTGTTCAACCCTGTGTTGTGCATAAGGAGATTCCTTGCTCATGTGTTGAACAACCCTGTTCTTTTTACCAGCCAGAGGCTGATTGTCCTGAACTTTGAACCAGCTGCGTGTGGTTCTCTTCAAACTGTGCTAGCAGTGGTTAAGACTCCAGAAGATTCCCTTCCTCTTTCCTGTCTTGTTTTCTCAAAGAGAACCTGAGATAGTTCAAAGACTGATGTGTTGGACTACAGGATGAGGCTCCTAAGGAGTCATAAACTACAAGTAAAATTATTTTGGCTGTCAGAATGGTGGATTAAGTCTTTTACTCATTGAGTCTTGAGCATGGAAGCAAATTGGATTTTCCCCTTTTTTGAAGGCAGGTGGATATGGTGCATAATATAGAAAAAGTAGGTTCTTGGGATAAATTTTAACTGTAAAACACCCCATACTTCACTAAGATGCTTACATCAAGACTGGCATGACCTTACTGATGCTGTGGATGCTAAATGGATGCTAAATTTAAGACCATTATCCTAAGAAATTGAAAATTCTTAGGGTAAGAATTACTTTGCATATTACAAAAGGAATTTCTGTGATTTGTGGAACTGGGTTTGTCTGGGTTTTGCAACAGTAGTAGGTCATGGGCCCTTTGATAGTGAAAAGGAACTTGTTCATTATGTATATGAGCATGAGAGCCATTGCTGACTGTGGTTGAAGTGGCCTCTTGCACATCCCACTTGCCTGCTGAGTATGTCAAACCAGGCAAGACTGTGACTGGAGATGTGGTTCCCATTTCCTGAAGAAGGTTTTGTGGTTACATTAGCATATTGCTTTGTCTGTCTTTACAACGCTTGGCTTTCAGAGCAAATGACTGGAAGTGTAAGTCAGTCATAATTACTAATAACCAATGAACTGCTCATAATCTGTGTATTAAGGTGAAGTTTGTCTAATGTTAGGATATATGTTACTGTAATTTTGATTGAATCCCTTATGTCTTCTCTACCTGATGAATTTTCTTTCCACAACAATACAGAAACCAAAACCCAAAAAAGTATGTTTTTATGCTGGTTAGGCTGGTATTGCTCCCTACTATTGCTCCCTGTGTAGGCATTTTCTTCCAGAGTAAGCTTGATGTTACTTTGGCATCATTACTCTTGTTTGGAAGTGGAGCAAGTATTCCAGATTACTGGAATTTTGCTCTGGAATAGTGTGTCTGCCTGGGAATCAGTAGAAGTAACAGACTAATTCCTATATGTGGCTATAACAGAACCAAGACGCTGCCATGTGCCAGACCCTGAAAAGAGGTCTCTCAGTGTCCT